GCCAAGTTAATCGAGAATAATGAGACTTGAATGCACAAAGTGTCCGCTTCTGGACCACGTGTTAGACATACATATATATTTCATTACATTGAGCAGCGGACGCTGATTATATTTATCTTTGTAACACGAATATAATTCTCTTTCATTTATATATATATACATTGTATATATTTTATAATTTTTTCTCGCCCGGAAATTAAATAATTTTTTAAATAAATTTGAAAAAAAATTTGTAAAAAAAAATCTCTTGAAGAAACTAAAAAAAAATTAAAATCTTTCGATTCGCAGTCATTTTTATTACTTAATTTTTTTTTCCTCTTCGCTTGAATCGTATACTTTGTAAAAAAAGGCGGATATTCTTTGTATCAAAAAAATGAGTGGTCGAAATATTAAGATGAAAGAATAAGAAAAAAAAAGAAACATCTAGATTGAAAGAGGCTCGAAGGCGTATCGTTGCAATTTTTTAATCATGCATATTTTTACATTTTAAGCGATATGGCACTACCGTCTATTGCCACCAACGTCGTAAAACCAGAAAGTTGAGTTGGTCGATGAAAATATTTGGCGCGTTACATCAACAGTCATCATCAGGAGGGAGGAATTTTTTTTTTTTTTTTTTTTTTTTCATTTTTTTTTTACCAAATGGCGCTATATCTATTCTACGGTCAAATTATGAAGATGCGTGTCTATTTCTTGGAAATTTAATAGAGATATGCTGGGGGTTGAGGGGGATGTACCATTTCTTTGCAAACTGTTTGAATTTATAAGTTTGTAAAAGAGACATTATATATAAATGTTGCGAACTCGAAATGTCAACGAGGTGGAGGAAATTTTTTTTTTTTTTTAAAGAGTCAGTCGTGTGAACGCAATGGCGCTGTTAACAATATATTTCACTCTTCGCTCGCGGTTATAAAATCATTATCAAAAAATTTGCAAGTGTCACTCGCGCGCACCCCTTATGTTAAGTAAATTTTATTCAAAAGAAAATTTAAAATCTGTTATTTTTTATTATGTGATTAATTTAAAGGAAAGTAATTATAATTTTTCTTAAAAATAAGAAATTAAAAAACAAAATTTCTAATTTTTAATTCAGAATTATTAATTAATTATTTTTGTTAATTTATGATTTGGAATTATTAAAAAAAATTATTTAATTCAAATAATCGGTTATAAATGATAAATATTATATATTGATATTTTTTTAGTCTGGGGGACCAAAACTTGTATTTTAATCCCTAGAGCGAAAAAGTTACTAAAAAAATTTAAATAATCGGTTAACTTGACTATAATCAAATAAATGTTTCCTTGAACCAAATAATTATTATTTGAGTCAATGAAATTTATTTCAAATACAATTTATTTAATCTAAATAAAAATTATTTGGTTTGAGTATGTACATATATATTCGCTCTAGGGTTTAAAATGACAGTTTTACTCCCTAGAGACTAAAACAATGGTTTAAGAATTAAATTTTTTTTTTCAAATTGCTTTATGAATTAAATTTTTTTTTTTTTTTAAATTGCTTTAGGAATTAAATGATATTTTATTTTAAAAAAATTGCTTTGTGAATTAAATTAATTTTTTTTAAAACAATTGCCTAATATTATAATATGCGCATTATCATTTTAACTCATAAATAAATAAATATCTCTCATATAAATCTTGACATTTGCGACGTTGATATAAATTATATTTGCATATGTTTCTTTAACAATATTGCATTTTGCATGCGTTTAATAATGCATAATTTACTTTGAAGAAAGTAGACAGCTCATATGATTGAATTAAATGAAACACGCACTTTTGAATTTTTTACACAAACATATATATATATATATCTCAAAGGCAATTAGAATATTAAATAGACAATGTATTTTTACTCTCATAAAAAATCGCAATTATATAAAGAGTTAATTTATTTTTACTATTTTATTTATGTCAATTATTTTTGTTAGATACAAAGTAAATATTTTTCAAGATCGTGAAAATATATTATATATTTATTAATGAAAAATAATCAATAATTCTACAATAATTAATGTAGAAAATAAATTATTGTTCTTTGATAATAAAATTTTATAAATTCTGTTTTTTTCTATTTTTCTCGTCTAGAGATTTCTTATTTAATTAGAATTATTCCGACGGTAGTAATTTTTAAAATTAAAAATCGTAATTTTTTTTTTAATAAAAAGTTTTCCTACACATGTTTTTTTTTTTTACAAATATGTAAATATTGCAAAGATAAAATTTACTTATGATTTATTAATTTCTTTTTTGTTATTTCAGAATAATTTTATCTCTCGATCGATATTTTATAACGATCACTCCGAGTCAAGGAGTTTTTTTTTTTTTTTTTTTGCAAATAGTCAATAATTACAAAAAAATTTTAAATTGAAACCATTTTTTTTTTATTTTGTTATACTTTGAATGAACTTTCAGAATTGCTCTCATTTTTCACAAAATTCCCCCTCGTGTTTTATTCACTCGTTTCCGTCTTTATTCAACTGAGATAACACCAATTACTGAGTTACACTCTATAAAAAAAAGAACAGTTGATTCACTTCCCAGATTTCTATCTAGAAATTCTTTCTGCTAAAAAAAATTACAGGACCAATTTTTTCTTAATTAACGTTTAATTAATGTTAATTAATAAGCATTAACAATCTTTATTTTTCACAAGTTTTTAAAACTTCTCACTTTATAATAAATATATTTTTATATTTTTATATTTTATATAAATTTTATCAAAAATATTCACAACACTTTTCTAAAAAATGAGAGAAACACAAACGTGACTTTCCGAGAGGCTGAAGGGAAATGAACTGTCGAAAAGGACATTTTTACATTCGCGTAATAACGGTGCCCGTCACCCTTTCGACCTTGGACTCGACCAACGAAAGGTTTAACCCTTTTTTTTGCGACTATAACCATAAAGCAAGTCCCTCGAGATGACGAACGTCGCGGAAGTTCCGGTGTTGGTATACCTAACGGTATCACTTATATATATATATATATAGTAAATATACAGCTTCTCGCCTTCTTCTCTTGAGGTTCGTTCCGCCACGTGCAGTGATGATAATCTCCTACAAAATAATATGAAAAGAGTTTTTCTTGAAAAAAAAGTACATGCAAAAAAAAAGAAAGAAAGAAAGAAAGACTTCAGGTAACGGGTTATAAGATATTTTCTCATCCAATATATTTGAAAATAACAACAAGGACATTTCTAAAAGTTTAATAGTCGACCTTCGTTTATATAGATTGTTGAGAAAAAAAAAAAATTAGACGCCTCCAATGAAAATTTACTGTCTAATTAATTGATTAGAAAAAAAGGAGAAAAAAAATATCAAGTTTATGAGAGATGAAACTTCCTTGTTTTTTTTTTTATATTGTAATGGAAAAATTGCGCACGTGTTGCATTTTTTTTATGCGCGGAAATCGATAAACTATTTTGTATGGAAAAATAGTTTATCTCTGGATCTTTAATTACAATTGTTGTAATTTATTATCATTTCTTTAGTTATCTTTGATTAATTAATTTATTGACGTATTTATTTATTTCTTTATTTAATTACGTATTTACTTACCTATTTATGTATTCACGTATTTTTCTACTTATTTAATTACTTATGTATTTATTTACGTATTTGCTTACTTACGTATTCATTTACTTATTTGCTTACTTACGTATTTGTTTACTTATTTGCTTACTTACGTATTTGTTTACTTATTTATTTACGTATTTGCTTACTTACGTATTTTTTATTTGCTTATTAATTTACGTATTTGCTTAATTACGTATTTGTTTTCTTACATATTTGTTTACTTATTTTCTTACTTACGTATTTATTTATTTATTTGCTTACTTACGTATTTGTTTACTTATTTAATTACGTATTTGCTTACTTACGTATTTGTTTACTTATTTATTTACGTATTTGTTTACTTACGTATTTATTTACGTATTTTTTTATTTGCTTACTTACGTATTTGTTTACATATTTATTTACGTATTTATTTACGTATTTGCTTACTTACGTATTTATTTACGTATTTTCTTACTTTCGTATTTTTTTATTTGCTTACTTACGTATTTGTTTACTTATTTATTTACGTATTTGCTTACTTACGTATTTGTTTTCTTACATATTTGTTTACTTATTTTCTTACTTACGTATTTATTTATTTATTTGCTTACTTACGTATTTGTTTACTTATTTAATTACGTATTTGCTTACTTACGTATTTGTTTACTTATTTATTTACGTATTTGTTTACTTACGTATTTATTTACGTATTTTTTTATTTGCTTACTTACGTATTTGTTTACATATTTATTTACGTATTTATTTACGTATTTGCTTACTTACGTATTTATTTACGTATTTTCTTACTTTCGTATTTTTTTATTTGCTTACTTACGTATTTGTTTACTTATTTATTTACGTATTTGCTTACTTACGTATTTGTTTACTTACGTATTTGTTTACTTATTTTCTTACTTACGTTTTTATTTATTTATTTGCTTACTTACGTATTTGTTTACTTATTAATTTACATATTTGCTTACTTACGTATTTGTTTACTTATTTATTTACGTATTTGCTTACTTACGTATTTATTTACTTTATTTATTTAAATAATTATTTATTTTTATTCTAATAATTAATTTTTAGCGAATCTATTTTTCAGCAAAAATATTTTGTCCTTAAATTTGAAAATAATGTAAATTTTCTCATTAACAAAGTCTATAATTTAATTTAATGTACTTTCATTATATATAAGAAATTATATATATATATAATATACATAAAGTATAGTATATGTGAAAAATTGCTATACATAAAATTTCTGACCGTATTTCCAATCAACACTGATGATCCATTTTGATCCCTTCCTGCGCAAGATAAAATATTATGAAGTGGAATAATTTTTATCTTATTTTTACAACTTTCTTTATAACTTGACATTATTGAATGGTTCGTTTCTTTTCTATGTTACAGGTTTTTTTTTTCGAAAATGAAAATCCTCCCAAGCTCGCCATGATGTAACTGGAGTGGATTGCCGTATATCCAACCTAGAGGGGGTAAGTTTTTTTTTAAATTTTTTTACTAGCAATTTTTTAATCAATATTTGTTTTTATATTATAAACAATATATTTTTTCACATATTATTTTCAAACCAAATAATTCACATCAATTAAATTTTAGAAGAAAATAATTTTTAAAACCAAATAATCCTTAGAACCAAAAAATTTTTTATTTGGAACAAATAAATAATTGACTAAAAATTTATTTGGTTGTAGTAAATAATTATTTGATTTATTTATTTGATAATAGTCAAGTAGCCGTTTATTTGAATGAAATAATTTTTTTTATATGTAAAATTCTCAGAAATGTAAAATATGATTTAGAAATATGTAATATTTTTTACCCGGGGGGTAAAAATGGTATTTTTTTTTTTGATATTAAATAGATTGTGATTTTCGAATCGATACATTGCATAGCATATATATATATACGTCAAAATGTATCAGTGAATGTGATGCTCGTTAAACGATCGATGTAAACGTGTAGTTCAAACCGACGGTTATAACAACATATATATATATATATATGTAGTGCACCGGCTGTGTTGGTGGTATGTGCGCGGGATGTTTGGAGTTTAGGGCATAATCGTTGCCTCATAAAAGCGTATGATGCGTTTTTAAAGGGTGCTTCTGTTAAGCAGTAAACGGAAACCCGACATCTCGGTTCGCAGTTCTCTTGTACAACAAACACTTTCCCCGTGTCAACCATAACAGAATCTACTTTTAACTTTTTCTCAATTTTTTATCAATTTCATTTTTACCCGTTTAATTTTCTGATTTTTCAATTTTCAAAATTGATTTTCTGATTTTTCAATTTGGTATTTTCAAAATTGATTTTCTGTTTTTTTAATTTGATAATTTTTTTTTTTTTTTGTGTAAATTTCATCAAATAGTTATTGTCAATTTAGAAATTGTTGAAATTATTATTTTTCAATCATGGCAAAATTTTTGTTTGAAACAAATACATAATTTTTTTGTATTAACAACATTTTTTTGTTACATCAAACAAAAATTGTTTTGATTCAAATATAATTTGTTTAATTCAAACAAAATTGATACAAATAAATCTTTAATTGGTGGAAATTAATTTTTTTTGCTACAAAAAAATATTTACTTGATTGAAACAAAATTTGTTTGATGGAAATAAATTTGTTTGCTACAAATAAATATATATAGTTAATCGAAATAATTTTGTTTGATAAAAATAAATATATTTATTTGGTCGAAATAAATTTGTTTGATAGAAATAAATATATTTATTTGGTCGAAATTTTGTTTAATACAAATAAATATTTATTTTGTATTTAATTAATCAACGCTTGGTTTATTTGAATAAATTTTTTTTTAACGAAAAAAGAATTTGATTAAACTTTTCATTGATTCAAAGAAAAGTTTAGTTAATTTATACATTTATTTCGTCGATTCATTCTAAATTTGGTTGTTTCAAACAAATTTTTTTTCCAAAATCGAACCGATATTTCGTTGCTTTCTTACTACCCTTTAAATTCAATTTCATTATATATTATTTATAAATCTGTGCTCAATTTGAGTATCGATATATTATTGCGTTCAGAGTATTATATATCGATCGGTGACATAAAAGCGAGACAATTTACGTAAATTACACGGTTTTGGTTTAATGCCAATGTAAAAGAAGGTTACGAAAAAATTGGTCATGGTCAAATATTTATATTTTTAAAACTTCAAAATTCACGTTCTACATTTTTATCGTATAAAATTTTTAAATATACGTTATTATTATGTTATATTTTATCTTTAATTAATATTTACATTGAATTTTCAAAAAAAAGAAAAAAAGAAAAAATTATGAAAATTATTTTCACGAAAAATAGATCAAAATTTCTATAAATGCTATTTGAAAAAAAAATTGTCCCCTTTTTTTTGATAATATATTATATTGTTGAAAGCTTTTACTTCCTTTTTACATGATTTTTATATTTTCTTATTATTCTAAAATTTATAATATTCCCTTAAAAAATATTTTCAAAACCAAAAACACATTTTGTTTTCTCATCGAATGATAATAAGTTGTTTCGTGACCAATAAGATAAGAATTTCAAGAACATTGCGTGTTTCGTTTCTCTCTTGAATGTATATATATATGTATATATATTTTTAGAAAATATGTATGCAGGAGAGAAAGAGGAAAAGAGAAAAAGATAGAAGGAGAGAAAAGAAGAAAGAATGAGAGAGAAAGAACGGTTGATTGTACTTTATAGGTGTTTCGTTGAGAACCGTAATTCCTTGCAAAAGTCTGCCTAAAGTACTTGACTCAAAACGATTACAGTAAAATTCAAACTCCTGCAATCTTACTTTGCAATGCTAACCAGTAGCCCTTTTCAAGTATAAAGTATCGTTACAGATTTTATCTTGTCGTAATTTGATCCTGAATATAAGTTTACTAATTAAAAATAAGAAGAGGTTAATTCATGCAGAAAAAACACGTTTCTCTAAATAAATTTTTTTTCTTATATTTTTGATCTCGATTTTTGTTAGAAAATTAAATTGTTTAAAAAAAATTGAATTTTAAAGAATAATGGAAGTTTTTGATTTTGTGACAATTTTCGTTATTTTCTCAAAAAAAAATAGTGGGAAAAGACAACATATGGTCAAACCTGGTTATGGGAAAAAAAAATTAAAAATTGCCTTTCGTAGAATTTCCTTTTTTTTGTTGCCGGAAATGAATCTTCGATATCTACTTTGCATTTATTTTTAATTAATTAAAAACTTTTTTTTAATAATTTATAATTTATTTATTTTTACTCATGGAAAGGGTATAAATAATTTAAAATTTGTTCATTTCAAAAAAATCTACAGTGAAAAACAAAATTTATTTTATTCAAATAATCTACTATATCTATTATACCAAAATAATTATTTAGTTGAGCCAAATAATATTTATTTTAATTAAATAAACTGATATTTGGAACAATAATTTTTGTTTTTGAAACAAATACCATTTAAATTGACTCCAATAATATAATTATTTGTTACAAATGAATATATTTATTTAGATATATAATTTTTCAAGTGTATAATCAATTATTTCAATCAAATAAATTTTTTCCATAATTTAGATATTTTTAATTTTTAAATATTATTAAACTTTTTCCATAGAGTATTTTTTTCGATAATTTAGATTTTAATGGATTTTAACATTTGGGGAAAATAAAATTTATCCTCGATTTAGAAAACTAAATTTACTCACAGTGAAAATTCAGTTTAAAGGCAAAAAAAAAACTAGAGTAGTATATAAATCAGAAATTGACTGATCTAAGTAACGAGGTCAATAAAAAAATTGAGAAAAGTATTGTAAAAAAAGGATTTTTCATGCGAAAATACAGCAGAGTTTGATAAAAAAAGAAAAAAAAAAAATTGTACAAAACATCGTAAAAAGTATGGAAGGTATAAAATTTTTACAGTTTTTCCAGAGAGAGAGAGAGAGAGAGAGAGAGAAAGAGAGCGCAGAAGCTTTTTCCATCTTTTTGAGAGATTCGTTTGGTTTAGTTACATCATGGGAATTCGCTGAGCGAGCGAGAGTACCATTTGCCGAAAGTTCAGCCCTGCTGCCACAATCCTGCTCCACCCTCACTTGAGAAAACCCCACCCTCAAAATTTTCAGAATTCATTCTTCTGTTGAAAATGAGCGCGCGCGCACACGCCATACGTCCTACGTTTGTTAATACATATACATTCAAAGCGAATGCACTTTAAAAATTCTTGAAAAAAAACAGATTTTTTAGATTCTTAATGTCACGGTTTTAAATTACGATCTGTCAGGAAAAAAAACATGTGTTGTTAATAAAACCACAATCACTATACTTTGTAGAAGAAAAAATGGGTATACTTAAAGAGAAAAAGTGATATAAATCGATAAATTTAAAAAAAAAACGTTTCCCAGGCTTGAATTTTATTTTGAGGGTGTTTTACGAAATAGCAGGTGCCATACAATGTTTGAAATGTATTTTTATTTTTAGAGAGAGAATACAATTCTTCGAATACAATAATTTTTGTATAAAAAAAATTTCGAATTATTTTTAGGGTAATTTGATAAAAATTTTAATTTTTAAAAATTTTAAATTAATGAGGAAACAAAAAAATTAAAAGGTACAAAATATTTCCATAAATTTTTATTAATATATTGAATTAATAAATCTAAATCTGAATTAGTAGTTTTTCTACTATTGAAAGAGTGCGGATTCATTTACCAATTAAATTAGTAACTCTTTTTTTAGTAGAAAACCACTAATTCATGGAGTAAATCGGCTTACTAATTTAAAATAGTAAAAAATACGATTTACTCCGTGAATTAGTAGTTTTCTACTAGTAATTAGTTTTCTACTAAAAAAGAATTAAAACTGTTACTAATTTAATTGGTAAACGAATCCGCACTCTTTCATTAGTAGAAAAACTACTACTTTAGATTTAGAGAATAACTTTCAAAATTTTAATTTATATAACTGATAATAAATTAATTTATTTTTAAAATTAAAAATAAAACAATAGTTTTATACAAAAGTTTGGATTTTAAGGGGAAATCTTGTTTTTACCTAAAACTAAAATAAGTTTCACTGAAACAGCGATATATTTCACTAAAATAGGAAAAAATTTATGTTATTCTAGAGAAACATATCGCTGTTCCAGATAAAGATTTTTTTCCGTTTAATAGTTGTACAACCTAATCATCGTTTGTACAATAATTATTACAATAAAATTTTGTTGCAAAATAATACATTGAGAGAAACGATTGTTTGCGATTACCATTTTGTTAGTAAAAGTATTTTTGATTACTGTTACTGTTATTGTTATTGTTACTGTTACTGTTACTGTTACTGTTACTGTTACTGTTACTGTTACTGTTACTGTTACTGTTACTGTTACTGTTACTGTTACTGTTACTGTTACTGTTACTGTTACTGTTACTGTTACTGTTACTGTTACCATTTAGTTAGTCAGCCTAACGATTCCATTAGTAA